ATGTCATTCATTCTGATGCATGGACATCTTCAATTCAAAGTCATGGTGGAATTAATTACTATGTCATTTTTCTTGATCAATTTACTCACTTTGTTTGGGTGTATCTTCTTAGAAAGAAATCTGATGTTTTTTCTAAATTTCTTCACTTTCGTACTTATATTAAAAATCAATTCCATAAGGACATACAAACATTTCAATGTGATAATGGCAAAGAATATGACAATTCTCACTTCCATCAATTGTGTGACACTCATGGCATTCACATGCGATTTTCTTGTCCTTACACCTCTAAAAAACGAAAAATATGAACGTATGCTCCGCACAATAAACAACTTGATGCACATTCTCTTATTTCAAGCTCATCTTCCGCCCACCTATTGGGTTGAGGCGCTTCACATGGCCACTCATTTCTTAAATATTCTTCCTTCCACCTCTCTAAAAAATGACACCCCATTTCGCAAACTCTTCAACAAACATCCCACATACTCTCATATTCATGTTTTCGGGTGTCTTTGTTATCCTCATCTCGACAACACCAATAAACTTCAACACCGATCTGTACCTTGCATAATTCTAGGATACCCGTCCAACCACAAAGGCTTTCCTTGTCTAGATCTCCACACCAAACAAATAATCATTTCCCGTCATGTTGTTTTTGATGAAACTATTTTCCCATTTGGATCTATGACTCCAAATCATTCTCCTAACTATGAGTTTCTCGACATCGATGCCTCTCGCAATTGCTTTAATGATCCAAACCACCCTTCTACTCCTCTCGAGTCTTCCACCAACACCACTACGCCGCCTAACAATGGCTCCGCTACCTGCAAATCCTCGGCAGTCGGCACCTCTTTCGCTCCTCCCTCTATTGATTCCTCCACCTCAGTTGGACAGTCGTCTACTCCATCCCGGCCTCTGTCGGTAATTCCTTCTACCTCTACTCGAACTCATGCCATGGAAACCTGAGCTCGCCATGGCATCCGTAAACCTATAGATCGTCTCAATCTCCAAACTCAAACTACCCCCTCTTCCCCTCTTCCTCGTAGCTATTCCCAAGCCTTTTGTGATCCTAACTAGCTACATGATATGAAAGATGAATATAATACACTTGTTTCTAACAAAACTTGGGTACTTGTTCCTCGGCCTACTAATGCTAATGTGGTTAATTGTATTTGGTTGTTCAAAAAGAAATTTAATGCAGATGGATCTCTTGCTCGATACAAAGCTCGTTTAGTTTCCAACGTGCGCAGTCAGCAGCCCGACATTGACTATAATGAGACTTTTAGCCCGATTGTCAAACCGGCCACCATCAGGACAGTTCTCAGCATAGCGATTTCCCATCATTGTCCAGTTCGTCAGTTAGATGTGAAGAATGAATTTCTTCACGGTAACATTCAGGAGACTGTCTACATGCATCCACCCAGTTTTCGGGACTCTACTACACCTGACCATGTATGTCTTCTAAAGAGGTCTTTATACGGCCTTAAACAGGAACCTCGGGGTTGGTATCATCGGTTTTCTCAGTTCATTACTCGCTTTGGATTTATTAACACCAAATCGGATACGTCTCTCTTCATCTACAGACAACGCGATCATATGGCATACTTACTTTTATATGTTTATGATATTGTGTTAACAACTTCCTCCTCAGCTCTTCTTCAGCAAGTTATTTCTACATTGCAGTATGAATTCTCCATGACTGACTTGGGCTCCTTGAACTACTTTCTTAGTATTTCCGTTTCTAGAGATCTTCATGGCATTTTTCTTTCTCAACAGAAATATGCAACCAAAATATTGGAGTGTGCAAAGATGACTAACTACAAACCGGTCCGCACTCTTACTGACACGTCTGTAAAATTTGATGGCACCGGTCCCCCATTTTCTGATCCGACTCTTTATCGAAGCCTTTCTGGTGCTCTTCAGTATTTGACTTTCACTCGACCTGACATTACGTATGTTGTTCAACAAGTATGTATCTTCATGCATGATCTAGAGAGCCCCACTTTGCTGGTCTCAAGCGAGTTCTTCGATACATTCGTGGTACTCTTGATCATGGCCTTCAACTTTATGCCTCACCTTCTAGGGGGCTAGTTGCTTACTCTGATGCTGACTAGGCTGGATGCCCGTCTAATCGTCGGTCCACCTCGAGATATTGTGTGTTTCTTGGATCCAATATTCTCTCTTGGTCTTCCAAACGACTGGGTACGATTCCAAATCCAGTGCCGAAGCCGAGTACCAAGGTGTTGCAAATGTAGTTGCTGAGACTAGTTGGCTACATAATCTTTTGCGTGAGCTTCTTTATCCGCCTCTCACTGCCATCCTTGTCTATTGTGGAAATGTTAGTGTATTCTACTTGTCCACCAATCATGTTCAGCATCAACGCACCAAACACATTGAGATTGATATTCACTTTGTTCGCGACAAAGTTGTTATAGGACAGATTCGAGTGTTTCATGTTCCATCGTCATTACAATATGCATATATCTTCACCAAAGGGCTTCCGTCTCCACTTTTTCTTGACTTTAGATCCAGTCTAAATGTTCTTTCCAGACATCCCGTTCAAACTTTGAAGATCGAGGTTTTAAGAAATAAGGAATGCAAAAAAGAGTAAGAACTACTCTACTTTCTTTATTTCTCTGTGAAGGCCTGTCGGCTTTGGAAATCTGACGATTACCTAAACCTAAAGGCTGCAGCCAGTTCTTTCTATTTCTCCCTTATTCAGATAGAATCAGAGCTATTTAACAGAGGAACGTAGGGGGGCTGTTAGCCGTATATTTTAATATAGGCTTTCTTTGTTATATTTATTTAGCCCATTGCATGGATTTAGTCCATTATATGTATTTGTAGCTCATATATTGTATAATTGGTTTATATATTTAATGAAAGGCAATAGCCTCGTTTTCATGGGAAAATCGTTTACAATAATTACCCTAATTATTGATTAGGATGATTTTGGATGTGTTCGGTGTGAGGAGCCATGTAGCAGCAACACATGTGTAATTCGGCCATCATCAGATTGAGGTAAGTGTCCTCATAGTATTTACGGGTTAAAGGCACCAATGTCGGCTCATTGATTATGATTAGGGGATGCTAGCTATCTGTGTGACTCTTGCATGTATTGTATGTGTTTGTATGTATACTGGGTGGGGACCGAAGCCTGGCGGGGCCTGATGAATGTGTTGGGCAGGGCCCATCGCATGTTACTGACAGATCCGCACCTGGCGGGGCCCGATGCAGGGCGAGGCACATTATATGTATGGTATGTGGTATTTGGAGAACTCACTAAGCTTTATGTTTACGGTCTCATGCTTATGTTTCAGGTACTTCTGGTTCCAAAGGGAAGAGCTCGATGTGACTGCATTGCATCCACCGGTGTTCCGCATTTTATTACTCGATTTGTACTCTGATAACTATTAATACTATTTTATACTGATGGCTTTTGGAAATAAATGAATGAATGGTTGATTTTGCCGAATTAAAAATTTTTAAAAAAATTTCTTAGAATTTTGGGACGTTACAGTAGGCAGTCTGATATACCTCACGCTGACAAGGCCAAACCTGGCTTTTACAGTTGGTGTATTAAGTCGCTTCATGCAATGCCCAAGAAAACCACACCTTATAGCAATTAAGAGAGCCTTAAGGTACGTGAAATCAACCAATGGACAGCGTATATGGTTTAATATGAAGAAGGAACCCTAGTTGGTTGGGTTCTATGATGCAGATTGCGGAGGATATTTGAATGAAAGGCGTTCCATATCTGGCTATGTGTTTATGTTTGGTTCACGTTCAGTTTCATGGTGTAGTAAACGCCAACCAACTGTGTTTTTGTCAACAACAGAAACAAAATATCGGGTTGCTACAGTTGTTACACAAGAATGCGTCTGGTTGACTCGATTATGACCTGCAGCAGAAAGTAGACTATGGAGTTAAGATGCTCCGTGATAATCTTTCTTCAATTAAGCTTTGTAAAAACCCAAATTTTCATGCAAGAACGAAACACATCGAAATCCATTATCACTTCATACGTGAAAAGGTGCTGAAGGGAGAGATCCAGTTGAAACATATTGATACTACAGAGCAGGTTGAGAGCTTATCGGGTCCCAAGGTGTTTAAGTTTAATAAAAAGAAGGGTCTTGGCCAGCTGCACATTGAGAGGGAGTGTTGAAGAATGCAATGTCCAGCTGGTTGACATCCATATTAATATTTACATTATTTTAATATTTAGCTATCTTCAATAACTAGTTTGTTTTACTTTTGTAGTAAGCTAGAAGTAATTGGTTTTCCACTAAAGATTAGGTAGACGTTATGGACTAGTGGGTGGCAAGTTAGTTTCTAGTTTTCAACCTTTTCTTTTCCTATTTAATATGTATGTGGTTGTACTTTCTTTTCGGCTCATTAGTGATAGAAGCATATAGCCAAGAATACTTGCATTGTCTTGTTTTGTCTTGTTTTCTTTTCTTGTTCATATCTAGAAGCAAGCTTGTTTCTTTCCGCTGTTGGTGACATATACCAACACACAGGCTACTTTGATTCCTATGATCATGGATTTCTACCCTACATATCCCATAGTCTATCCCCATGTATGAATAGTTAAACCATTTATAGTCATGGGTGTTGATTAAAGTTTATGGTCCATGATGGTATGGAAAATGGGATCAAACCGGGTGTTTATCTGAAAAAGATCTCTACTATGATTCAATCTCTTAATAAATGTTAACATGATTCAACTCTACAATCGAATCATCTAATGACAAATGTACAGAACAAACAAGAAAACAGGAAACATTGGAGATGTGATATATCAAAACGAAAGTATCACCGAAAAGAACATATTCATATAACCGTTTATTATTTTAATAATATGTTTATTCCTTTAAAATTCGAATTTTGTATCAAAAATAGAAAATTCTATTTTAAGAAAACGGTTAAAACCAATATTCCGACCATATACACTTGCATGACTCAAAGCCACCAAAACGAGACGTCGAGAAGACTTCTGACTCTCACCTGTTTGTTAACGTTCTTGTCGTTATTGGCAGTTTGGCACCAACCCTCCCGTGTTTATTCTAATTTTGGTGCTCACCGGCCTGCAAATTTTGTTTCTACTCCCTCACCTTTCTGAAATCCGAATCTTTCTTTCTCTAATGGCGTCTTCTTCTTCTCCTACTACTTGTATATACCTGATCACACACACTCCTCCCAAGGTTCAATTCAATGGCTTCCGCCATGACTGCTTACATCGCCGTGGTGCTGACAACCATCATCCTTCTCTTTACTGTCACTCACTCATCGACCCTTGGAGTTGAATACGTGTCTCGTCTTCTTCAAGTTCAGGATCGAGAGAGAGCCCCGTCGTCTGTACAAATTTCTGCTGCTAGAGCGGTGCTTGATCGCCTCATTCCTTCCCATTCACCTAGTTTCGACTTTCAGATCATCACTAAGGTAAATTCAATATCGTTGACTAATTCTTTGTTTGTTTTTGCTGGTAATTCGTGACTTGGACCTCTGTATTTACTTTAGGTTTTAGTTTACTAGAATCGGATTCTGATATTTGATTTAGGCACATATTTTGTGAAAATTTAATTAACTGAGTAACTCAAATCAATCGGGTAATAATACTGTTATACTTCAAGTGAAACATACGCTTTTCTCTCTGATTTTTCATGTTCAACTATCCGTCATCGGAATTGAATTCATTCGTGTTTTTCTGAAAAGTAAAAATAAATTGGCAATCGGCAATAGCAGAAAAACTTAGGTTCAATCATGTTAATTCACAAATCATATATGGCCTAAACTAATTGCTCCAACAGCTTTAGAATCATTAAACTATCATAAACATTATGCGCAAACTAGTACTTGACACATTAAACAACCTTACAATCAAACTGAACCACTGTCGCTTTCTTATTTACAGGAGCATTGTGGTGGAGTATCCTGCTTTTCAATAAGCAATCATCCTTCTTCAAATGTGCAGGGTGCCCCTGAAATCCTGTATGATTATTCTTCCATTACTTACCAACTTCAAGATTCCATGTAATCAATTTGCTTTTTATTTACATTGGCTTCTTTTTTTGAAATCTTGATCAGAATACGTGGTGTGACTGGAGTGGAACTACTTTCTGGTGTTCATTGGTACTTGAAAAACTTGTGTGGGGCCCATATTTCATGGGACAAAACTGGTGGTTCACAACTATCTTCAGTGCCTAAACCAGGATCTCTTCCCCGAATGCAAGATGATGGACTTCTGATACAAAGACCCGTTCCTTGGAATTACTACCAGAATGCTGTCACATCTAGCTGTAAGTTGTTCATATATTATATTCCACTTAAATTTATCAAATATATTTAATAAATTTATACTTTTCAAAGATACATTTGCTTGGTGGGACTGGAAGAGATGGGAAAAGGAGATTGACTGGATGGCTCTTCAAGGCATCAATATGCCTCTAGCATTTACTGGCCAAGAAGCTATTTGGCAAAAAGTATTTCAGGTAGAAATACTTTTTTTACTTACCCTAATAACTCTTGTGTTCATCATATTCTTTTCTTTATCTTGATTCTTGATAAATGTTTGTTAATCTTTTAGCAGAAGTTTAATATTAGCAGTTCAGATTTGGATGATTTTTTTGGAGGGCCCGCATTTCTTGCTTGGTCACGCATGGCTAACTTGCACGGGTGTGTTTTTGTGTTCTTATGCTGCTTTCTGATTATCAACTTTATTTCACCTCTTATTATATAGTATATGTAAAGAACTAAAGATTATATATTGAATATTGATTGTAGATGGGGTGGCCCACTGCCTCAAAGCTGGCTAGATCAACAACTTGTAATGCAAAAGAAAATTTTAGCAAGAATGTATGAGCTAGGAATGACTCCAGGTACCTTAAGTTGTTGACTATATTGGTGATTTTACTTTTTTATCCTCCCTACTATTACTAACACTTGTATTATTGTGAATTGTGATGCAGTCCTACCAGCTTTCTCAGGAAACGTACCTGCAGCTTTGAAAAATGTGTATCCATCAGCAAAGATAACACGTTTAGGGAATTGGTAAGATTTAATTACCTCACTTCTAAACACAAGGGTAAAATGGTCATTTACTCGGCTTGAGACAGTTCATTTAGTTCAAAAAAGAAACAGTCTTTATGTATACAACACTTTATTGAGACAAATATGATCACCCATTCAGCCATTTTATCTATACATGACTTAATTGGACAAAAATAAGATAAACAAATCTTTAGCTTTCAGTTAAAATAAAAAAATAAAAAAATAATAATTAAAAAACATAGTTGTTACAGAAACCCCATAAAGATTTGAAGGTTTGCAACTTTTGTAGCTGCAAAAATTGGGGCAAAATTGTCCTACAATGGTTTTTTTTTTTTTTCTAAAACTAAAGCACGCATATAATGGTGATTATGTTATTCCTCCTAGGTTTACAGTTGACAGCAACCCTAAATGGTGTTGTACATATCTTCTTGATGCAACTGATCCTTTATTTATCGAGATTGGAAAAGCATTCATAAGTCAACAAGTCAAAGGTGCGTGAGTGTCTCTCAAAAATCAAAATCATCATATTATATTAGTAATATGATTTTTCTTTTTACGTCTAATATATGTAATACTTAAGTTACTTTTTGTTGTCATCAGAGTATGGACGAAGCAGCCACATATACAACTGGTAAAACTGCTCTAACTAGATCATATTTATTTATTTATTTTATAAATGTCAGAATATCTTTATGATATAAAACTTATATTTGTAGTGATACATTTGATGAAAACACACCACCAACAGATGACCCAAATTACATTTCTTCTCTAGCTGCTGCAATCTTTAAGGGAATGCAAAGTGGTGATGATGAAGCTGTTTGGTTAATGCAGGTATACATTCAAACACAATTTTTTCATCAATATCTTATGAATCTTTTATTTAAAAATAACATATATATATTATTTTGTTAACAGGGATGGCTTTTTGCATATGATCCATACTGGAGACCTCCACAGATGCAAGCACTTCTACATGCAGTTCCCATTGGAAAAATGATTGTCCTTGACCTTTTTGCTGAAGTCAAACCTATCTGGACTAGTTCAGATCAGTTCTATGGTGTCCCTTATATCTGGTGCATGCTGCATAATTTTGCAGGAAATGTTGAGATGTATGGTGTTCTAGATTCTCTAGGATCTGGACCTGTTGATGCTCGTATTAGCAACAACTCAACAATGGTAAAATAACTAATAACTAATAAGTCAAGTCTCATTTCTAATATTCAAAATCATAATTTATTTGATTCTTAATGTTGTGTTTCACTTTTAGGTTGGTGTTGGAATGTCAATGGAAGGTATTGAGCAGAATCCTGTAGTTTATGATCTTATGTCTGAAATGGCATTTCAACATAAAAAAATCAATGTAAAGGTAACATTAACTAATTTTACCCATAATAGCAATGTACTTACATTTTTTTTACCAATAATAGTAATAAAAAATAATTAAGTAGATTGCTATTATGGTAAAAGAAAATAAAATTTTCCCTATTGTTCAATGTTTATACAGACATGGCTTGATTCATATTCAAGCAGAAGATATGGAAAATTTGTTCCCTTAGTACAAGAGGCATGGAACATATTATATCACACACTTTATAATTGCACAGATGGCGCTTATGTAAGTTTTTTTAAAATTCTTTTAATTTCACTAGCTAAATCTTGATTTTAATGTAATAAAGTTTTACAGGACAAAAATAGGGATGTGATAGTGGCATTCCCAGATGTTGATCCATCTTTTCTTTCTAGAAAATCTTTTTTGAATAAAAAAAATCAACTAAAAGACACAGATGAAGCTTTTGACAAACCCCATTTATGGTATTCAACCTCAGAAGTTATTCGTGCTCTACAACTTTTCATTGAAGGTGGAAATGAATTATCAGAAAGCAACACGTTTAGGTGAATATAAATATATAATTGCAATGATTGTGTTTGACTAGACAAATGGTTTCCTATTTTGACTTTGTTGACTAAATTCAGGTATGACTTAGTTGACTTGACAAGACAAGCATTGGCAAAGTATGCAAATGATTTATTTGTAGATGTGATTGAAGCGTATGAGTCAAAGTATAGTGATGGTGTTGTTTTCCTTAGTGAGAAGTTTCTTGAGCTTGTGGATGACATGGACATGTTATTGGGTTGTCATGAAGGGTTTTTATTAGGACCATGGTTGGAGAGTTCAAAGCAACTTGCAATAAACAGGGAACAAGAGAAACAGGTGAATTGGATTTTTTTTTATTTTTTAATACCAATATTTTTGTTTTTGACATTTTATTGATGATAACAGTATGAATGGAATGCAAGAACTCAAATCACAATGTGGTTTGACAACACGGATAAGGAAGCTAGTCTGCTCCGTGATTATGGTAAGTAGAAATAATGTACATTGGGTCCATGTGGACCCACAAGGAGCCCAATCCATATCCATATTGGAATTGAAACTCTGATACTGTAAGTCAGTGTACTGATATTACTTTATGTACAGGAAACAAATATTGGAGTGGGCTTTTACGAGACTATTATGGACCTCGGGCAGCCATTTATTTCAAATATTTGAAAGAAAGTTTAGCAAAAGGAAATGGGTTTAATTTAAAGAGTTGGAGGAAAGAATGGATTAAGCTTACAAATGAGTGGCAGGATGGTAAATATGTGTACCCTATTAAAAGCGAAGGTGATGCTCTCAACACCTCACGGTGGCTTTTTAATAAATACTTGCGTGATTCGGCTATAATAAGTGATCATTAGATTATATGACACTTCAAATTTACAATCAAATGTCAACTTTTATTGAATGAAACTTGAAATGTTTGTTAAGGTGAGCAAAGTTGAGCAGATTGATAACATTATTTCTTCTTGATGAGTTCAGAAACATGAGATTATAATCTCAAAGGCATGTATTCCAGGAATCGGTATCTATTTCAAGAACTCAACAACCTTTGTAATTATCTAGCATGTCAATTCTCGAAAATCCTTTACTTTAAAGGAACAATTCTCATCGAAACATCATTCCAAAATTTAGCCTGATAACCATTACCTACTTTAAGAATGCAAAACATGCTCAAATACAAACCATTACCTACTTCATAGTTGCACAAAAAACTCTTACAATGTTCAAACAATGGTCATTGTGTGAAACCTCACTCAAATTTTCCCCAAGTAACCATCATCACCATAAAGAGCTTTTATAACCTGCATCCACAAAGTATTCATCTCACCGAGAAAAACGCTAAATCCATTTGAAAAGTAAAGCTCGGTTGAATAAAAATTATTATAAACTACAAGCCCTCTTTCTTTCCCCCATCTCTCCACCCAAATGAACGACATCTTAATGACTCTGAGAGTTTTAGGGTTTTAGGACTATTCAAAACTTTAAAAAAGACATGAAGTAATTTCCCAAACTACCCAAAACCTCAAGATCACCTAAACCCCCCAAAGGACTTTCTCAAAGTAGCTTCTTCAAGGACCACATGAAATCCTTCGATATCAATTATGGAAGAATAAAGTGGGTCATTAACCGAAGACTCGTTTCTATCATTAGCTTTTTTAGGAGATCCATTAACCAAAATGGACGTCGTAGAAGTCTTAAGAGCATCTTATATAGCTTCACCATTTTAAAACCAAAATTCATTATACCGAGAACTTCATTTAAATAATCCCAAGATAAAGAGTTGTATGTTTTCTCAAAATCAACCTTGAAAATCATCATTTTTTCTCATTTCTTTTTGTACCAGCATAGAATTTCACTGAGAATTAAATGATCTAAAATTTAATGTCCTTTAATGAAGGCTAATTGTTCAATACTAGCCACGTCTAATATAACCATTGCTAACAGGTTAATTAAAAGTTTGTCAATATTTTTATATTGACAACATATACCGCTAATCAATCTATAATCTTTTATAAATTCTTGATGGTGCGTTTTTGGAATTAAGGAATATCATTTCAATCTTGGAAATGCAAAACCACCTTAATGACATCTTCTTTCTACCAGCTCCTAATATGGCTTAAAAAAACGAAAATGAAACCATTCGGATCCCACGGTTTTTTGTTCATGAAGTCATCATATTTCTATTCATGAAAACCCTTATTAACAATAAAAGACACTTTTTTGATAGAAACTCCTAATTTGTTTTGAAACACCAAAGTTCTTTAATTTTGTTGAACAAATACAAAATGCATATTATCCATTATTGTTGGTTGATTACATACATGACACAACCTATAATATCCAAATAAGCAAACATCAAAAATATAAAAATATCGGTCAAATATCATAAGTTCCATGTATGCATCTTGTGCACACAACTAGTAAGAGTTGTAAAAAAAAAAATGCATGTTCGTGTTTGTTCAACAAAACTAAGAAATTCTCGTTTCAAATGGAAGTTTTGGAACTTATTTGTTCAACAAAACTAATAACTCTTTGGTTAAAGTGACACGTCATAAAAATAGGAGATGTAAGAGGGTAATGGACTTTTTTTTTGTACGTTTAGTTATTTTTTTATACATCATTTACCAATAAACTTATTGTTTGTGTTCAAAATATACCATTATGATAAACTATGGTAAGTATAGCCGGTTTTCGGCGTCCTTGGCAACTACGACAAGCCTCTTTTTTCGGCAAAGTTTTTTTTTTTCCAAACAAACATACAAACTCAGGATCTGAAGTTCTTGGTGTTTGTGTGTGTTCTAGATGTTTGTTTGCGTAAGATAGATGGATCAAAATAAAACACACACACACTCGATTTTCATATCTAAAAATTGAGTTCTTGGTGTTTGTGTGTGTTCTTTGTGTGAAAGAGAGATGGATGTGAAATAAAAACACATATACACAGTCTTTTCAGACATGTATGTTTTCGGTGTTTGTGTGTAAAAGAGATGGATCTGAAGAAAAAAAAAACAAATAAACACCCACACACACATGAAAATCATGGTTCTTGAGTTCGCAAGATGTCTGAGGAACAAAATTTCAAATGAACAAGATTTTGTTTATGTAAACTCATGTTGGCCAAAAAGGCGTGGGAGTAGGGATGGAAATGGGGCGGGTTTGGGGCGGGGTTGACCATCCCTCTCCTCATCCCCGAGTGTCTAACATCGTCCCCATCTCCGACGGATGTGGGGAATCAAATCCTCTCCCCTTTGTATTTTAGGCTTTTCCCCAGCCCATCCCCGACCCATCCCCAATCTTTCAACATAATAAACTCAACTTACAAGAAAAAAACAAGTTTAATAAGTGATCAAAACCATATGTCATAATCATATTCTGTTTACATCAATCATAAAGTTTAACAAACATCAAAACGAAAATTGATGATTTGGTATACAGACCATCGAACAAAGTGAAGATTGATGAACTTTTGGAATTGGGAACATAATTTGATATATGGACTCTATCTCCGATCGTCTAATATAGATCAATTCATTTTAGTGAACTTAATTCAAATTCAATAAATGATCGTTATACTAATATTATATATATATATATATATATATTATATATATATAGTCATCAAAGCGGGGGCGGGGCGGGTTGGGGAGTGTTATATCCGGCCCCAACCCCATCCCCGGTTTTAGCATAATGGGGATCCCCAGCCCCGTACCCGATACCCGTTTTGGCAGGGAATACCCGTCCCCGGTTGGGGCGGGTCAACCGGGTTCCCCACCGGGTCGGGTGAAATTTTCATCCCTACGCGGGAGAAGATGACCGAAGAGTCGTCAGAAACCGATTAAATGTGAACACTAAAAACAAGTTTAATGGTAAATTGTTTAGAATAGCTACACTATGCAAGTGTTTTTTAACACCAAAAAACAAGTTAGGTACAAAACAAAACAAAAATAAAATAAAATAAAAATAAAGAGACTAAGTATAAACAAAATAAGAATTTTTACCCTCATTAATATTATCTCTAAAAATAATAGTAAAATTTGAAATAAGTACATGTTTGTATCACAAAAAATAGTTCCAAGGATATCTTTCGTATTATATACACTTATTTACGAAAGCTTATTTATGAAAATTAATTAATAAGTTCCATTGACGATGAACATTTAAACATGATTACAATGAAGGAAAGTTCTAATTTTTGAAGACCAGTCAAAGTAAGAAGAACCTGAGGAAGGTGATTATACCTTTTCAATATAATTTACTAGGTGTGAAATCCAAATCTCGTGTATTAAATAATGTTGAAAATATTATTAAAATTGTATCAATCCAACCCACACGCTTCTTCCAGAAGGACAATATGCATCGGTCAAATCAAAGAGGTTTACCTATCGCACACCGACAAGTTGAAAATCAACATCTACTCTACAAATATATAAACAGATAATCTGCATTCAGTATTCTGCAATACAGATCTTCATTGTTTCGACAAGAACTCTAAGATAAATCATTAAGAAATGGATGGAAATTACAGCGATCAAGCATCGGCAACGGATCTAAACAGAAGGAATTACCTGTGGGCGGATCATACGGATACGAAGACGGAGTACGTTTATCCGACGGAGACCAGACGGAGCAAGATCAAGGACAAGTTAGAAGATGGATTTGAGAAATCGAAAGCAGTTGCTTCAACAGGATTGAAGAAGATCAAAAGAGGATCAAGTGTAGGGCTCCATTGGATCAAACACAAGTACCAAAAAACGACGCATAAACAACACTCGTAGCTCGTATCGTCTGTGTGTATGTAAAGTTGTTTGATATTATTTGTGTTTTTTGGTTTTTAATTGATTTTTTTATTTATGATTTTGAAGAGTTTTGTGACCCTGTTTGTTAATGAAAATATAAAATATACATGTTTGTAAAATCTTTTCAAATTTTTGATTCATGGATTATGTGGAATAGGAAGGAATTGGGTCGACAAGTTCCTATTGTTAATGCGTTTTGTTGAAAAATCAATGAAATTAATTTCTATCGAATTCGGCGCAACCCCTTGGCCATTTACCTGTTAAGTCCATGTAAAAATTTTATAATTATATGGGTTGATTTGAATTAAGAATCAGATTTTTTTTTTTTTTTGTGCAAACCATATGAATTCACTGATTATATATTTTTGGATAAGCCCAAAATATATATATATATATATTATATATATATATATATATATATTATATATAATTTCATTCCATATTTTCTGACGAAAAAAAAAAGAGCAAATTAACCTTGAAGAATAGACAGACTTCAAGACACGGGAAGCAGACCTTAACCAAAACTGATCATGCATATATGACCATATAACAATTCTAAGATTTTTGAGAGAATGTATTCATGTATTCGGTCTCGATACCGTAAAATTCCCGAAAACCATGAAAAAGAACCGCGAACAGAATATAAGCATACCTTGTTCCGATGAGATATTGTGAGGATATGCATTACCTTAAATAGATGTGTATGTGTCAGCTTAGATGAACGACTTTACTTTAAGTGGGAACTGATTCGTACACAACAAATTTTTTCCATGCACAACAATTTGTGCATTAAAGTATTGTATTGTACAAATCCATAAAGCATGAATTGTTGTGTATGGATAAAAATTAACTTGTTATCCAAGTTCCCTTAATTTATGGAATCCTTGACCATTTTAAACACTAATAATCATTATAAATAGATAACAACTTCAAGATCTTCCCATTTTGAACTCATGTTTGATGCACTACCTTATCGAGTTGTTTTCCTTCTTTTTAGCGTAAACAGCTTGAAGCAATAAACATCTGAGCCACGGAAAGAACTCAAGTACTCGACCAAGTCATGCTAGTTTTCTTACTTTGTTAGTTTATTATTATGATTTTGTGAATTACGATTTACTCAAAGCCTTGCCTTACGTTTTCTATACTCCTAAAAAAAAGGAGAAAAATTCAAGGTTTCATGTAGTATACTTAGATATACGTTATCACTTCTAATTTTAGCATGAGAACCTTCATCTCATGTTTCATTTGTTCTTTAGTCCTCACTTTTAAGCAGGGCCGGTCCAAACGTATATGGGGCCCGGTGCGAAAAGAAAAAAAAAGACCCCTTAAAGACAAATATAATAAAGATTCAGAAAAAGAATATAATTTATTATTCACTATAAACACGTTCAATTATCAATAACAAGCAGGCCAATTTGTTTATCTTTTGAGCTAGTTTGAGTTTGAACCAACTTTAGGCCCTAAAAATCATTTAGGTAATAATTTTTTTTATATATATACACTACATAGCCCATAAAATTTGGGCCCCTGGAGACGTGGGCCCTGGGCGGTCGCCCGGGTTGTCCACCGTCTAGATCGGCCCTGCTTTTACGCCCTCATTTTGTCTCTTCAGGAGGTTCGCATTAGACCCTGACTTTCCTTGGTTGTAAGCTCTAACACCAACTTCCTTAATGTATTATTGTAGTGTTTATTCGAGAATGATTCATCAATCCTATCAAAGTACTCACAATGCTTTTTGTGAGACTGTACAACAAAGGATGAATTAGGGTTTCCCATATGGACTAGACAACAAGAAATCAATGCATTGAAAGTACTTTTCCCCATCTTACCATGGACAATTTAAAAACCTTCTCACGGGATTGTCTTGGCTCCATGACATTCTACCTTTCGCACAGTGAGGATAAAATGATGACATATTTCAAGAGTTTGGTTAACATAGACGTATAACTTGTTTTTGTCCACAAGTTCGAGTCGAGGAAGATGACATTTTGTTGGCTTAGTTTATGGTTCTTCGATTTTCATGATGTAAAAGTGACCGAAAATCTCTAAGCTTATTTACTAAGGATTTGCCAGATGGGCTTGAGATACTCACATTTAATTAGCCTAGACGATGTGGATCTTACGTGGACAAGAGTAAGTCAAAGTAATCATATCCACTTAAGCATTGTAACCGCTAAACGAGCAACAAATATAGTCCATGTCTTATTTAATAGGTAAAATGTTATTTTAGGGACCCATAAGTAAGTTTCGTGACCAAATAAGGATGAACTCGATAGTTTATGGTGCTACAGTGAAAATAACTCAATATGTTAAGTCAAAAAAATTAATTAATATATTAAGACATTAATTCTTTATCTATTTGTCTTTTTTTTCATCCAAATTTTTTTCACGTTAAACTTGATAGATATTGTTGTATTTAATAAATATTGTGAAATTAGGCACAAACATTTATCTAGTTGTGCATCCATAATTGATTTCCTCTATGGGAAAATGACATAAAAGCCCTTAAGTTTTCACAAAAATGTCAGTTTTACCCTTGGACGTGTTTTATGTCCAGTAAAGCCCGAAGTTTTGTTTAATATGTTTATTTTTACCCTTGTAGCCGGTTTCCAGGTAACCTACCGGTTACCTAATGTCAGTAAAGCCTTGAATTTTCAAAAATATTCGGATTTACCCTTAAGTTTTTCAAAAATGTTCGGATTTACCCTTACATTGATTGTTATTATTATTATTATTATTATTATTATTATTATTATTATTATTATTAATACATTTTTAATTGTATAAAAATATTTTATACATATATTTTTAATGTATAAAAATATTTTATACATGTTTTAATACATTTTCTACAGTTCTAAATGTATAAAATAATTTTATACACACATTTTTAAATGTATAAAAATATTTTTACTAATATAAATATATTTTTAAAAATATATGCAGTTGTATTTAGTATTTATATACATTTGAAAACCCTAAATCTTCATCTATAATTGTTGAATCGAACAGAAAAAGCTTGATAAAGTAAAAAATGTTGTCAATGACTGATTTTGCAAAAACAAATACTTCAGATCAATATAAAAAATGATGCATTTCGTGATCTTTTTTTGTGAACTTACAATAATCATAAATGAAGTTTACATTCGTATTTGACATTTCGTTATCAATTTTTGAGATAAAAACAGTTAATGAATGATTTTAAGTTGATAATACTTAATTTTTACAGTGATCAAGTGTTTTTGTCGAGGTTTTTTGAATTATATTCTATATAAAAGCTATCGTATGCATATAATTATGAAATAAATACATATTTATACTTGGTAATATGTACAAATACATATAATTATATCTTTATATAATATAACCAAAAATATGTATTTTTATATTTATATGTAAATATATATTTTTATATGAAATAAATAATAGATTTATACTTATACCTACTAAATACAAATAATACATTTTTAATATATAATACATTTCTACATGAATACATGGGCTTTCAAATGTATATATAAATATTAAATACAAGTATATATATTTTAAAAAATATATTTATATTAGTAAAAATATTTTTTATAACATTTAAAAATGTGTGTATAAAATATTTTTATACATTTACAAATGTAATTAATAAGAATAATAATAATAATATAGGTATAAAAATGTATTAAAAATAAAAAACGTATGAACTATTTTTATACATTTAAAAATGTATGTATAAAACTATTTTTATACAATTAACAATGTATAATAATAATAATAATAATAATCCTAATAATAATATACTAATTATAACAATCAAGGTAAGGGTAAATCCGAACATTTTTGAAAACTTAAGGGTAAATCCGAACATTTTTGAAAATTCAAGGCTTTACTGGCATTAGGTGACCGGTAGGTTACCTGTAAACCGGATACAAGGGTAAAAATGAACAAATTAAACAAAACTCCGGGCTTTACTGGACATAAAACACGTCCAAAGGTTTTCGTATGAAAACTTAAGGGCTTTTATGTCATTTTCCCTTCCTCTATGGATGGCTTTACTTAAACATGAGGTCTACCACGAAATCACCCAAAAGTATGTTAAGACCACCCCATCAAAATAAACCTTTGCAGTATTTGTGAAGTTATAAATATTCACCAACTCCAATAAAAAAACGATATCCGTTGGATCCGCAACAAAGGAACACGACTAAAAGGACACATTTCACCAAACCATGTGACACCTAACCAAAAAAGATAGATTTTGATTTTCCTTCTTTTCACAAAACGAACAATAAAAAAGTATTTAGCTCAATTTCTTGTTAATCCAACCTAACACATTTAAATTTATCAATGATAAAACCAAAAAGATTTGCATATCAAAATGAATATCATCACAGTATTGTAGCAATCGCTAAAAGAGTAAAGCCACATATGAAATTTTCGATGAAAGAGTTTTCATAATAGACAGTATTTGAAGATATTATTAGAGTTCTTAGAGAACAAAATTAATATTATTATACCGAACTGTATAAAATTTCGGTTGTTATTATGTACTTAAGTCTTCATATATATATAATATGACAGAGAAAGCAAATGGGGGTGTAGCTCATATGGTAGAGCGCTCGCTTCGCATGCGAGAGGCACGGGGTTCGATTCCCCGCACCTCCATTAATTAATTTTTTTGTTTAAGACACGAAATGCGTTTTTTACACGTTGAGATCCAACGAATCAGTTGTTGAGAGTTTAGACTTTAGGCGAACATTCCAACCTATTTGCGTGCCCACTTCACTTCCCTTTTTTCTCGAATTACATCAGGTTTAATTCATAAAAAAGTAATCCCTTATTCAAAATTAATCAATTACAATATAGTTTTATATTATTAAACAGTTATGTGAGATATAAAAAAAATTTCACAAATACATCTGTAATATTACAGAACTAGGTTTAAACCTGTGGAAACCACGGATAAGAAAGAAAAACATTATTCGTAA